GCATCAAGAATTGGAGTACTTGGGGCACATCATCACTAGTCAGGGCGTGAAAGTGGATGAAAATAAAATTGCTGCTATGGTAGCCTGGCCTCGACCCACTAACATTTCGGAACTACATGGGTTTTTAGGTTTGACAGGTTATTACCAGAAGCTCGTCAAAGATTATAGCATTATAGCTCGACCTCTCACCAATCTTCTCAAAAAAGGCCAATTCGGATGGCATGGAGAAGCTGAAACTGCCTTCCTTGCTCTTAAACAGGCCATGACGACCACACCTACATTAGCCATGCCAAACTTCAACGATGCTTTCACTATTGAAACAGACGCATCCAGGGAAGGAATTAGAGTGGTCCTGTCTCAACAAGGCAAACTAGTGGCATACATGAGTCGAGCCCTCGGAGTGACCAAGAAATCCTGGTCAACGTACGCTAAGGAGATGTTGGCTATCGTCGAAGCCATACGCACCTGGCTGCTTTACATTCTAGGCCAAAAATTCTATATTCAGACCGATCAACGTAGTCTCAATTATTTTCTAGAGCAACGAATAGCAACTTTGGAGCAACAAAAATGGGTTGCTAAGCTCTTGGGCTACGATTACAAAATAAAATACAGACTGGGCCGTGAGAACTCTACAGCTGATGCTCTTTCTCGAAAACAGGGCAGTCCCATTCTTCACCATATTTTCTTTTCGCAGGTTAGCTTATGGGAGGAAATTAAAAAAGCTACAGAAGAAGACCAGTACATTCAGTCAAAGGTTCGTGTGGCCACTGAACAACCTGGAGGATCATATACATGGCGCCAAGGGCTTTTACTATATAAAGGAAGGGTCATTGTTCCGAACGATGCCACCTTAAGGGCCAAACTGTTAAACGAAATGCATAACACCAAGGTGGGGGGTCATTGGGGCGTCCTACGTATGTACAAGAAATTGTGGCAGTAGTTTTTATTGGCCTGGGATGCATAAATCAGTGCAAGACTACGTCAAGGGATGCGAGGTATGCCAGAAAATAAAAGCCGAGACATTAGCTCTAGCTGGGCTTCTTCAACCGCTGCCAATACCATGCCAAGTAGGGGACGACATCACCTTAGACTTTATTGAGGGCCTATCGATTTCGCAGGGAAAGGACACCATCATGGTGGTTGTCGACAGACTTAGTAAGTCTGCTCATTTCCTTACTTTAAGTCATCCTTTTACTGCAAAAATTGTAGCAGAAAAATTTGTGGAAGGCATCATCAAGCTTCACGGCATGCCCAAATCAATTGTTAGTGATTGGGACCCAATCTTCATCAGTAACTTCTAGAAAGAATTTTTCAAGCTGTCGGGCACCAAACTACAGCTCAGTTCCGCATACCACCCGCAGACAAATGGCCAGACGAAAGTCATCAATTGCTGCATCGAGCAATATCTTCGGTGTTTTGTTTATCAGTGGCCACGGAAATGGAGCGGCTATTTACCTTGGGCAGAATATTTTTATAATACGACATACCACATTTCGATAGGGATGACCCCTTTTCAGGCGCTGTATGGAAGATTGCCGCCCCCTATTCTGACATACAAAGACGGACTTTCACCGGTACATGAAGTTGATCAGCAACTCATAAGCCGAGATGAACTGCTATGGCAACTGAAGGCCAACTTAGCGAACTCGGTGAACAGAATAAAGCAGATGGCTGATAAGAAGAGAAGGGATATTTCGTTCGATGTCGGCAAATGGATACTTTTGAAACTGTACCCATACCGCCAGTAAACGGTCTTCAAACGGGTCCATCAGAAACTAGCTAGCCGTTTTTATGGACCCTACCAGATTCTAGAGAAGATCGGGCCTGTCGCATATAAGTTACAATTACCGGAAGAGACGCGCATTCACCTAGTGTTTCATGTGTCACTACTCAAACGATACCAAGACAACGGGGACAACACTGAAACGCCATAGGCCGAGTTACCACCATTCACCGATGAAGGGGTAGTCTTATTGAAGCCACAAACTATTTTAGACTACTGTTGGATCAAGTAAGGCACCCAGGTGGTTGAAGAAAGCCTAGTACAATGGAAACACCTTCCAGCCGAGGAGGCAACGTGGGAGCCAACAAAGAAGTTATGGGAGCTGTTTCCGAATTTGGACCTATCCACTTGATGGGGAAGGTATTGTTAGGCCACAACGTTTGGAGAAGGGCCGTAAGCCAAATCCCAAATACTTGGGATAAGCTGTGACGTGAAGAACGTTGCTTGCATGCTAGCAGACGAAGAGCAGGAATGGATTGGGCCATGGCAGTTGAGAGTTTTACGTGCGAGTGGGTTCTCAGTGGTTGCGAGTTTTACGTCCATTTCATTTCTGTCAGTTATGTTCTGTTTCTTATGTATTTGCATACTTTGTTTTACGTGAGTTGTAGTCTAGTTACTAGCTAATAGTTTCCCTTTTATTGTAAGTGACTTTGCTTATTTAAGTAGCCGAAAATTATCAATGGAAGGCAAGTAATCATTTGTTTTCAAAACCTTCCGGTACTTTCTCACCCGAAGAGAAAAACAGTTCACTTTTCGTTTGAATATTTGTTGGGACCTATCATGTACCTTGAAAGGATCTCAAGGTTGACCGGGTGTTTCGGGTTCATGGAGCTAGCTACGGTAGTATTTAGTTTGACCAAAGGATAGAGATTGAAGCATTGCAAGACAGGGGAGTGTTGTTGCAATTAAGTCTTAATCTTTGACTTTGTAATTAAATTAAAAAGTTTACTATAGTGGATTAGCTTCATTCTAGAATTGGTCCCATAAATGTATGCATCTTGCCAAACCATGTAAAAATCTGGTGTTCTTTATTTTGGTTCATATTTGATTGCTTTACGTTTATGATAATTGGACACTTAATCAACTTAGCAACCCATTCCGCTTAGGTGTAATCAACTTGGTAAGTGATTAAAACTTTTAGTATAATAGTAAGAGAATGGAGCATATAGAAGCAAGATAGGAAGGGTGAGATTGTCTCCAGTTGAGAATGTGAAAATCGAAGGAAGAAGAAGTTGCTGCCTGGGTGTAATCGAAGAAGTGAGAAAGAAAGGTTTATTTACGGCTACTGTTACCGTTGTGGTAAATTTTTTGATTAGAAATTTATTATTCGAATCTTCTTGAGAGGGATGTTCAATCTCAGAGTGGGTCATATAATAGCTCTTTCCAATTATTGTGTTTTGTCAATCAAGCACTGATTCACAGGTGGGTAGGTGAGGAAAATTAACTGGGAGGGAGCTGAGGTTTCAATTTGCTCCCCACTCCTTATCTCTATCTTGTTTACTAACTCAATTAGTACTCCTGATTCATTTTCAAGAATAAAGTTTTAGGTTCATCTTTGACATTGGTGTCACCCTTCAATCTGCAGCATAAATGAGTTTCAAATGTCTTTGTGTGTATCTTGTTCCTTGTTCATAGGTGATTTAGTCGGTGTTTAGTCTGTCAGTTCTATCTCAATATTTATTACAGTATTAGCAAATTGAAACCAACAAAACCCATTACAACCATTCAATCCAAACACCACTTTTATCCCCCTCCAAGACCCTTTTGTACACCAAAACCATCAGCAATAAAAGAATCAGAAGAACTACTGTTACCGTTGTGGTAAATTTTTTTTATTAGAAATTTATTATTCAAATCTCCTTGAGAGGGGTGTTCAATCTCATACTGGTTCATGTAATCTCTCTTTCCAATTATTGTGTTCTGTCAATCAAGCACTGACATATGAATAATGGTAACGCCACCTAGCTAGTACATAATCGACAACTTGAAATGGGGAATATTGTTCACATGCATAAAGACAGTTATACAGGACAGATTTACGTCATATGAATGATTGAATCCACTAGGGGTGTTTATGCAAAAACCAAACAGAACCAAAAAACTGGTTAACCGAAAAAACGGTTCGATTACGGTTTAAAAAATTTAAAAAATCGAATTTTTTGTTCGATTATCAGTTCGAGAAAAAATAAAAAGCGGTTAACCGAAACCAGTTTTTTTAACCGGTTTTATATATATATATATATATTAAATAAAAATATATATTATATAAAAAAAATAAAAATTTAATATATTATATATTAAATAAAAAAATAATGTAATATATTATATATTAAATAAAAAAATAATAATATTTTTAACGTATTATTAGTAGTGATCAATGTATATGTATGAATGTTTAATTTTTATTTGGATATGTATTATTTATATTTACAATTTAATTTAGGAAAAATTTAAAAATATATGTTTTATTAAAAAAAAAGGGAAAACCGGTTAACCGCTCTAAAAAAAACGGTTAACCAGTTTTTCAGTTAACCGAAAAACCGGTTTTCCCTCCAAACCGGTTCAGTTTTGGTTCAGAAATTTTTCCGAATCGAAAAACCTGTTCGGTTCAAAAAAGCGATTAACCGAACACCCCTAATGTAAACAAAAGATAAACTGGTCCCTCCTCTTATCTAAGGCTTTCTTGCATTTGAAATTTTAGTTCCCCAACATCCGTAAAATTTCTAGTTCCCTGTTTAGAACAATAGCAACATAAAAAAGCCCAGAATCAGAAGGCAATGTATGGATCCGCAAAGATTACTAGAATTTTATAGTCTATGCATCTCATTATACGCTTAAAGATATTAGAGTATGCGTGTATTTAGAAATTGAATATTATTTTTATTAATTTAAATTAAGGTTAAATTTGTTAAACCAAAAAATGAATTTTAAAGTGGGAGGTGAAAATGAATTAGGTGGGGGATAAAAACACTTCCATTGATTTTTTTACAAGTTTTTAGGAAAAAAAAGAAAAGATTCTAAAGAATTATCAGAAAGGCATTTTGATCTGTATATAGAAAGCAGTGCACTGCGGGACCTGCTGCATCTGAAAATTATAAAAGTTAAATGAGTGGTGACTCTCTATGAAATTTGAATAGATGCTTACCATATGCTTTAGGAGTTAGCAGAGACTTGTGACTCCTCTGAATGTCGAAAAGGCCAAAATAAAAGGGGGAAGAAGAAATCCCATCTGTTACTCTTCTTGTTCCCTTTTCTCTTTTATGCTCTCACAAGAAAAGATAATATGGGGAGAGAAAGCCTGGAAGAAGGACTGCTGCCAAGCTCTTCAATTCTTGAACCTGCTCATATTGTTAGTAGCATTGGCAATGGCGATGACATAACTGATCAAACTGATTCTTCCGCTACACCTGTCGTTTTTTTCAGCACTTTCATTACCGTGTGCAGTTACTTTGCCTTTGGCTGCGCAGTAAGTAACATAATTTAAGTTAGAGACTCTCAACTGGGTGTCAGAATCCAATAGACACTTCATTAGCAAGTATATAACTGTTTATATGACTGCTTTTTAGACAGGATATTCGTCGCCTGCTGAATCTGGAATCATGAAGGATCTCGGCCTCTCAGTAGCAGCAGTAAGCATATATTAATTTTTTGGTTACACCTTTTTTTTACTAGCTATCCAACTCAAGTACCCTGTTTGTGACATGTTGAATTCTTCTCATTGTGCAGTATTCTGTTTTTGTTTCTGTATTAGCGATTGGAGCACTTCTAGGTTCATTAATAAATGGGAAAATAACTGACCTCATTGGTCGGAGAGGAGTAAGTTTCTCTGTTACATTTTTAGATATCACTATAAGCCTCACTAACTTTTCCAATAATTTAGTGATACTGTCAAGCAGGGAATGTGGCTGGCAGATTTTTTTTTCATCTTTGGCTGGCTAACTACTAGGATTAATGACTTAAAAAAATCCTACAACAAGACCCTTGGATGCGTTTGCTTAACCTATTAATGCTGAAGTAGTCGGCAACTCCAACATTCTCCCACTTGGCGAATACTTCACACAATGAAGGCCTACCTCATCAACACACCATGTAAACTTTGCTAAGCTCACAGCCTTGGCAAGAAAATCTGCAACATTAACAAGTGTATCAACCTTCTCTAACAACACTAATTTTTCCTCCACCTTTTGCCCGATAAAATGGTATTGTATGTCAATGTGTTTTGATCATGAATGAAAGGCAAGATTCTTGGCTAAGTAAATAGCCCCTTGATTGTCACACCCTATCTTAATTCACAGCATCAAGCTTGAAACCAAGCTCTAAACTCAATCTTCGAAGCCACATAGCTTGCCAGCATATGTCAATGCCATGTATTCTGCCTCAGTCAATGACAAAGCTACAGTACTTTGCCTTTTACTCATCCAACAAATAGAAGCACCAAATAGAGTGAATAAATACCCACTTGTAGAACGCCTACTATCAAGATCACCTCCCCAATCAGCGTCCACAAAACCTATCACATCTAGCTCATCCCTAGTTGCCATGCCCCCATAACATAATGCTAAACCAGAGGTTCCACACAGATATCTAAGAACCCTCTTTACAGCACTCCAATGCTCTTTGCCAAGATTTGACATAAATCGACTTAAAACTTCCACTGCTTGTGCAATATCAGGTTTCGTGCACACCACGACAAACATCAAACTACCCATAGCACTAGCATACGTCACATATGTCATTTCTTCAACATCTTCCTTAGACTTAGGGTATTGATTAGTAGACAATTTCACTTCCAAAGTCATAGGAATCTTCACAGGTTTGTAGTCTGCCATGTTAAATTTTTTCAACACCTCCTCAATGTACTTTCTCTACCCTAACCACAATTTACAACTCTGACAATCTCTTGTAATCTGCATACCCAAAATAAAATTTGTAGCTCCAAGATCATGTCAAATTGTGCAGCCAACAAACCCTTCACAGAATGTATCAACTCTTTGCTATTCCTTATCAACAACATATCATCTATATATAAGGTTAAAATAACAAAGACATTTTCTAACCTTTTTACACACACACAGAGTGATCCACATTGTTGTGGCTAAAACCATGCTGAAGAACATAAGAGTCAAACTTTTGGTACCGCACCCTTGGTGATTGTTTAAGCCCATACAGAGACTTCCTCAACCTACACACCATGTCTTCCTTCCCTTTACATACAAACCCCTCAGGTTGCCTCATGTAAATTTCCTCCTCTAAATCTCCCTGTAAGAATGTTGTCTTTACATCAAGTTGCTCAATTTCAAGATTATACACAGAGACAATAGATAGAACATACCTGATTGATGTTAACTTAGCCACAAGAGAGAAAATCTCACCATAATCAACACCTTCAATCTACGAGAATCCCTTTGTAATGAGCTTTGCCTTATACTTTGCAATTGTTCCATCAGCTTGCAACTTTCTTTTGAACACCCACTTGCAACCAATTGCCTTCTTATCCTTAGGCAATTTACATAAAACCCATGTATTATTCTTGTACAATGACTGCATCTGTTCATTCATTACAAGCTCCCACAAATTTACATCTTCCATGGCTCTTACTTCATTTACATTCCTAGGTTCATGACCCGTCACATTCAAAGCATGCAATCCACTCGAGGCACTTAGAGAGGAACGAACTGGTGCCCTTCTAACTCTTGTAGATCTTCTCAAAGTTAGTGACACCACAACTTCATCATCGAAATCATCTTCTGAACCATCCACATAAATATCATTAGCCACACTATCATATTTATCTTCATGATCAGATTCTGTAAGCCCTAAATTTATCAGTCTCTACAACAACATTAGGAGTCACCTCCTCCTCTTGCTCTACTATAGTCACATCAAACTGAACTTTCTTTGACTGTTCAGGATCTTCAAGAGCTCCCACATGTTGTTTACCTCTCTAAAAATAACATCTTTGTTATAGATGATGCTTCCACTCATAGGATTCCACAACGTGTACCCCTTGATGCCATCGCCCCATAAACTTGCATTTCTCATATTTACTATCAAGCTTGCTTTTGTTCTCCTTTGGCACATGTACATATGCATCACAATAAAAAAACTGAATAAAGGACTGATTAAGCTTCTTAACATACAGAGCTTCATGTGTCGTCATGTCTTTAATAGAAGAGGTAGGAGACCGATTCTTCAAATAACAAGCCATTGTAGTAGCTTCAGCCCAAAATTCAGGCCCCAAATCTATCGTATTTAGCATAAACCTAGCCTTCTCTAAAAGTGACTGATTGAGACGTTCAGCCACTCCATTCTGCTGAGGCGTATAATGTGTAGTTTTTTGCCTTGCAATTCCATGTGTCGCACAAAACTGCTCGAACTTACCAAAGCAAAACTCACTGCCATTATTAGTTTGCAAAGCTTTAATCGTCCTGTCAAACTGATTCTCAACTAAAGCTTCAAATTCTCAAAATTTCTCAAAAGCTTCAAACTTGCTATGCATGAAATAAACCCAATAGTATCTAGAAAGATCATCAATGAAAGACACATAATACCTGGATTTACCAACATATTCCACTGGAATGGGCCCAAAAACGTCACTATGAGTTAAGTCCAGAATTTTTGTCTCTCTTTGGTTGAACTAATGAAGTTACTTTTGTTTCATGTTAACTCTCTTAGGGGGAGTTTTCTTTTTCCTTGTTTGTTAAATATGCTTAACTATTTATGGTTTTAGTGTCATATTTTCTTTTCATGATTTGTTTATGACACTCTTATTGTTGGTTGATATTTGTCTATCATTATGTGATGTTGGTTGTTTTTGTGAGATAGGTACATATTGATCTTTTGATCATTTTAGTGCTTTGTTCATAAGTTTGACAAAGGGGGAGATTGTTGATATTTTTTTCAAACTTATGTTATGGTGACACATTTTGCCATGTAGCATTTTCTCTTTGTTGTCTTGCCCATCAAGTTTATTTTGATTCATGATATTCTTGTGAGAGATAACTTTACATGTGTCACAATTTCTTTATGTGGTACTAAAAGGTTGTAAGGCTTTGTATGTGGTCAAGCAAGAAAGAGAAAATATATGTTTGTGGTCCAACAAAAAGTTGGAATTGTTTTTTTCCTCCAAGTGTTTAGCTTTGTTAGACTTATGCCTTTTCCATTTTTATTTCATGTTTGTTCATAGTGGATGTGTGCTTGCACACTTATGTCAGACAAATGCATGTTGCATTTCATTTCGCATTTTACTTCGTGTGTGTACACACCTTTCTACTGTGCTAACATCGCATGTCTGACTCATTTTTCATAAGTTGTGTTTTTATCCTTAACAGCTAAGATATTTTCTTTGCATCTTTTGTGCTATCATGAGGACCACTTATAGGTGTCTCAATATCCTTTAGTGGTCCAAGGAAAATCAACCTTTTCCCCTTTTTGGTTGTGGTCCCAAAAGATAGATGGATTCTTTTCCATTTTTGGACCAACATATGTCAGGTATTGTTTGCTGACTTGGCAAGAATTGGGGAGCACAAAATTGGTCTATATCTTCTTCATTCTTGCTCATTTGTGAACTAACCTTTATGTTTGTTTTTGCCTTGTGCTTTGAAACTTTCAGAGAGTTTTTTTCGTAAAGGTTCCCCATATGTTTTTGTACTAAACAATTATCATCTTTCATCTTTGTTGAGCTAAAAGGAAGTTCATCTTCTTCCTTGTTTGTTTTTCTTTTTGAACCTGAATATCTATTTCATTAGTCCTCTAGCTTTTCAGAGAGTTGTTCTTGGTTAGGTTCTTTTATATGGGTTTGTGCTAAGAACTTTCTTGTTTATCTTCATTGTTGAATGGCGGCTGGAACGTGATTCCTTTGTTGATGCTAGAGAATGTCTTCAGTGACTGAAGCTTGGGTGGAGCTCAAGCATTGTCAGGAGTGATCATGGTGTGGAGTGATCCTAGAAGCGACGAAGCATTAGAGATTCAGAGGGTGGTGTACATTTAGTGTAACATAGAACAGGGAGTTCTCTTTGCTGTAGCTAAAATCAACTCTGAGTGATATCTTGTAATGTTGTTGTTATAATGGATTAGCTTCGATATGGATGAGGTCCCATGGATGTAGGCTAAGAGTGGTTTTAGCCGAACTATGTATATGCTTGTGTGCTTTATCTTTACTGCTTGTGTTTGATGTGGTTAAAAATTGGAAATCTCTTAAACAACTTGGTAATACTTCCACTGCACATCATAACCATTAATCAACTTGGTAAAATCTTCCGCTGCACTTTAAAAATGGGTAATTTAACACCGAAGTGTGTTAGTCAATCCCCAACTGAATCAATAATATTTAGTTCGTTGGTGGTTTAGCTGTACCTGATTAGCTTGTGTATATCCCCCCCAAATATTTTTCGGAGTTATTTCTGCAATATATACAAGTAACTGTGTTGAAAAAGTAATGCAAGGCTGTCATACACCTTACATGTGAATTAAGGTACTACTAGATTATTGTTAATAACACTTACCACAAAAGCAATAATTCCAGCTCCAATCCTTATTGAAAATCTTCCAAGATCAAGCAACCAAGCAACCTTTTAACAAGTAATGAATAACATTGTTGATGCGTGATTTTGACACCAATGACCCGCACGTGTAAAGTGCTAAGAAAGTTTTAGAAATTACACGTGAATGACTATGAGAGAGCTAATCAATGTAATTGAATGCAAAGACTGAATAACAAATGAGAAATGATTTTTAAAGTGGTTGGGATGCTTAAAGCGATTCCTACGTCCACTATCTCTTTTATATATGAGAGATTACAAGAGGTCGGGTATAGTAAACAATGAGCAAAGGTACAGTAACTGAGTATTCAGAGAGAATATCAAGTCAATCTCTTTCTCGTAGGTTATCTTTGCTCTAGAAATAAGGATTACAATCAGAATCAAAATGAGGGTTCAGGATCAGAATCCCAAAAATGAGAGGGGGAGTCCTTTATTTTTAGTAGAAGAATTCAAGGTAATGATTACAAATCTGCAAGTAGGTAGGTGTCATGCAAGTCCTTCCTTGCCTTCCATTGGTTGATAACTTAAAAAATATCCTCAAATTATCTTGGGCTTGGCCAAGTGTGCTGTCCTTAGTCACTTATAGACAAAACTTGAATATGATAAGTTGATGATAGTCGTATTCATTTTGTCTTGGGGCAACGTGGCAGCTCCTGGATAGCGCAAAGTCTTCTTGAACTATGATTGGTGCTTGCTGATGTAAGCTTACATCAGCCCTGATTTTTTAGGCATAACAAGCATTAAACCTCATCAACATTAAAAAGAAACAAACAGAATTAATAGATAAATGAGATAGAAGCAGATACGTAGAGGAAGTTGAATCTGACATTGATCCATTTCACTAACTCAAAGTAAAAAAGAGCGAAGTGCTTATGTAAGACATAAAATAAAGCATAATTGTGACAAGGGAGAAAGGGACAGAGAAGAAACCTTTGAGAATGCTATTGCAAGCCAACCACCAATGCAGAGCAATTTGGATACCCACATTGTCTGCTTCATAAGAAGTTTATTAAACACAATTAAAAAAGATGAAAAAGTAGTCCAAGAGGAAACTTTTACTAGAAGTTCAGAGTGTAACAGGACAGCTTACAGCTCTTCGACTGATGAGATTAGCTATCATCCCATTCATTAATGAACCTATTATTCCTCCAACTGTTGTTAGTGAACCAAATACCAAATACTGCATAGTGAAAATAGAAGAGAGAAGAAATGATTAATTATATGGAGCAAAATATATATACCATTATAATGAATGAAAAGATTAACATAAGGTTGCCTCAATATGTATT